GTTTGGCAGAAAAAACCTCCACTCAAAACTCGAATTCAACGATAACTGATTCAGCAGAAAAATATTCTACCGAGAACTTGAATTTAACGAGATCTGAATCGGCAGAAAAAATCTCCTATGAGAACCCGAGTCCAAAGATATCTAAATTGACAAAAAAATCCTCTACCGGGAACTTGAATTCAACGATGTCTAAATTGGCAGAAAAAACCTCCACCCAAGACTCGAGTTCAACCATATCTGAATTGGGAGAAAAAACCACCACCAAGAACTTGAATTTAATGATGTCTGACTTGGCAGAAAAATCCTCCACCGATTACCTGAGTTCAATGATATCTGAATTCACAGAAAGATCCCCCGCTGAGAACTTGAATTCAATGATGTCTGAATTGGCAGAAAAATCCTTCACTGAGAACTCGAATTTAATGATGTCTGAATCGACAGGAAAATCCTCCACCGAGAAATTGAATTCAACGATGTCGGAACTGACAGAAAAATCCCCCATCGAGAATTTGAATTTAATGATGTCTGATCTGGCAGAAAAATGCTCCACTAAGAACTTGAATTCAACGATGTTTGAATTGGCAGGAAGATCCCCTACCAAAAACTTGAATTTAATGGAATCTAAATTCGCAGAAAAATCCTCCATTGAGGACTTGAATTCTATGATGTCTGAATTAACAGAAAAATCCTCCACCAAGAAGTCGAATTCAACGATGTCTGAATTAACAGAAAAATCCTCCACCAAGAACTTGAATTCAACGATGTCTGAATTGGCAGAAAAATGCTCCACTAATAACTTGAATACAACGATGTCTGAATTGGCAGAAAGATCCCCCATCAGGAACTTGAATTTAGTGATATCTAAATTGGTAGAAAAATCCTCCACCAAGAAGTCGAATTCAACGATGTCTGAATTAACAGAAAGATCCCCCATCAAGAACTTGAATTTAATGATATCTAAATTGGTAGAAAAATCCTCCACCAAGAAGTCGAATTCAACGATGTCTGATTTAACAGAAAAATCCTCTACAAAGAAGTCGAATTCAACGATGTCTGATTTAACAGAAAAATCCTCCACAAAGAAGTCGAATGTAATGATATCTGAATTGGCAGAAAAATCCTCCACCGAGAAGTCGAATGTAATGATGTCTGAACTGGCAGAAAAATCCCCCGCCGAGAACTCGAATTTAATGATGTCTGAACTGGCAGAAAAATCCTCCACCGAGAACTCGAATTTAATGATATCCGAATTGACTGAGAAATCTTCCACCGAGATGATTACGCCTGACATAGTAACAGAAGAAGTTACCGAGTTGGAAATGTCAAGAACGACCGAAGAGACTGATGATGTAGAGATCATTGATTCAGTTTCTGAAATTAAAACACCTACCTCTAGAAACGTTAATCCTACACGAAAAAGAAAGATCAACGAGCTTCAAGAAACGAAGAAATGCACTCGTCAACAATTGTTGAAAAAGATAAGAAATTTGAGGAAGTGTAGTACTATTCCAAATACGCGTCCAAGTACTTCAAATCACCACGAGATAGGACAGAACCGGAATAAAAGTTCTCACGCCTTGCAGGTCGAGGATCAGTTGGAAAAGGAAGTTGAGGATGTTAAGGAGGATGATTATATTCCTAAAAAGAAGCCTCGAATTGCCCATGTACCTAAAGCTACAGTAACAGAGCAAAACGTATCATTAAACAATTGTGTACAGGCGACGGTATGTGCAGATGAAAATTTGGCAAATAAAAAAGAAAATTTAGAAACTGTTGCCAATAACCTTATCGATCCTAATAGAAGCCCTATAATAAAACTGACTAAACTACCACTGAAGAACAGAATCAATTTGTACGAGCAACCTATTACTCCGACAGTGGTAAAAGAGAGTAACCAGGAATTAAAAGATAAATGTAACAATAGCACTAATAAACCAAACCTGACGCCATTAAGCATAGCGAGACCTGATGTAGCACCTGTTGCAGAGACTAATAATGATAATAAAGTATTGACAAGTGACACTGAGTGTGCACCTGAGTATAATTCTAAAGTGAAAGATTTATTTGGCGACGATTCTGATAGTTCTGAAGACTTTGATTCCCCTCAAAGTCCTGATGATCCTTCTGGAGTATCAGTGGAAGTTAACAGAACGGATCCTAAATTAACTGAAGAATGTGATTTTGATTCTCCTCAAAGTCCTGATGATTCCTTTGGAAAATCAGTGGAAGTTAACAAAACGGATCCTAAATTAACTGAGGAATGTGATTTTGATTCCCCTCAAAGTCCTGATGATCCTTTTGGAAAATCAGTGGAAGTTAACAAAATGGATCCTAAATTAACCGAGGAATGTGATTTTGATTCCCCTCAAAGTCCTGATAATCCTTTTGGAAAATCAGTGGAAGTTAACAAAACAGACTCTAAATTAACTGAAGAATATGGACAACTAAAAAGGAAAAACGAAACCAATTTGTCAGGTTCGGACAAACCAGTTGTTAGTATTCATAACATTAAAAACAAAGTCAATAGTCAAGCGAAATGCAAAAAAAATGATAAGTTCAATGAACCGTCGACAGTGAACGTTATATTAACTAATAATTTACAGTCACAGCATTGCCAGGATAATAATAATCAGTTTAGGAAATCAACTAATGTTAAACACAAGCTGACTGTACCTCGGAAAAAGGTTCAAAACGTCGTAAATAATGATGAGTCATTTAACTCCAACAATTTGACTTCAAATAACGTACAGCAAAGTAAGGTAAATGAAATGACCTGTACCACAGAAAGAAAATTAAATTCGCAACTTCCTATCGAAATACTGAAAGAATTCAATAAAAATAGCACTATAAATAGAAATTATAAAAAGGAACTTGAACAATTAGAAAAGATCCGTTCGGAAGCAGGTAATGTTACTACATAGAGCTAACTACTTAAAGATATACTAATGAATTCATTCTAAATGCGTTGCATCCATTTCAGATAAGTCTGTAGTGAAGCAGCTGCATAGAATTATACACAGTGAATGGCAAGATGCTCTGCATTGGGATGTAATTGAAAAATTGAAAAGTACTTACACTCCCCGTATCATAGCAAAGTAAATATCAAAATACAATCAATATATTTAACATCGATAATTTAGCAGAATTCAAATGGACCGTTATCTGATTTCAGAAATATTGTAGACTATTTAAGCGTAACGCAAAAGGTGAACAAGAACCTGGACAATACCTATACACCACCTGCACCTTTAATGACTAAAGTACAGCAAAGAATTGTAGCATTGTTAGCTGACTTAGAAGAATCATTTCCGATTATTCAACTGGTTCAAGGTGCCATAGAATATAAGCTATTTAAGTTCAACCAGCAAGTACAGGTTTGATTAATATTAATTAAGTTAATTTGTTATATAAAATTTAACGACCCAATTAAAGATATCCTTCTTATGTCTAGAAATCAGTTGTGGAATTACTTGCTAGGGTGTATATTATTCTAGCCAAAATTAAGAAAGATAGACAAAAAGTAAGGATATTCTGTTGCGATGCTCTTTATTGTATGGGACTTTCGGGGATACTTGTTTTGTATACAGTATTTACTTGTTGGCCAGAGTCATTTCCAAAGAATGAAACTAATAACGGTATGTATGATGCAATTTTGATTAAGTTAGGTAAGTACTAATTGACTATTTTAACATTACCGAATGTCATTCATAGATCTACTACCGAAATGTATTGCTCATCTTCTCTTGGCTCAACAAGCTGTTAACTACCCTAAGCTTTTCGCATTGAAGAACTTGGTAACTCTATACTATAAGTATCCATCAGGAACCCTGTCTGCAAATATATTGAAAGAACTTTTGACGGCACTTCAAGGTAAATAAATATTGTAATACATCATTCCAATGGAATTGCGTTAACGTTGACCTGCGTTGCAGAAAAATGTCACCCTGACGTCGAGGCGAGCATTAAACTTTTAGCAAAGAAAGAAGGCATGGAATGGACGTACAAGAATATCATTAAGGGAGCTTTGTTGCCCATGATTATTAACGAAAAGCTTCCCGACATGTACAGGGCGTTCGGTTTACTCGGTAATGAAGTGTTTTCAATTTTACATTATTTTAATTCTAGTGATGTGTGATGTTAAGTGAGGCCTTGGCTTGAACCACTGAACGTTCAAGTAATAATTTTCTTTATCATAATTGTAGGCGACCTGATGCGCGTATTCCCTATAGAAGATAAGGATAACTCAGTCGGTGAAATTGTTGAACAATTATGTGACCTAATTAGTTCCGGTGAAGGTACACGCCTGCTTTAATTTATTTCACTCGGATTGCACGCACGCAGACCAACGTCACGAGTATGCTAATTTACAAATTTGCACTTTTAATTAGGAACGGATGAACAACAGGAGGGTGTGATCTCGGCGTTACTTAGCTTGTCAAGGCATAAATTCGACACGGTGCTATCAAACGTGACGAACTGGACCCCCACCGTGCCCCTTCATGACCGAACCGTGGAACAGATCCGTGGAATGTTTAATCAACGCGACCCAACTTTCTGGAGGGGTTACCTAAAGAAGTATGAGATCTCGAAAACGGGTAAACGAAGTAAAACATAACATAAAGCAGCTCCTCCATCGCCAACGACAACACGCACCTTGTGATATTTATTTAGCGGATAATTCTTAAGTATTATTTAAAGATTGAGACGTTTAAGTTGCGGATTTCGTTAATAAATATTTTTGCATATTTCTATTATTTCAATTGGCGATATATATGTTTCTCGCATTAGAAAGTTACGACGTTAACGTATTGTGTACATATTATTGCGCGTTGGGCGAAGAAAACCTTATGTTATGCTTCGAACGAGTCAATCCTAGAACGTTAATATATCTATATATACGATCAACTAATAACTTTGGTAAACCAAAGAAGATACTTATTACGCAATAGAAGCGAGCCTCATATTATGAGTAAGTTTCCCTGCGTTTAAAAGCTTCCTACAAACGTTTTTAATTTTTTATTACCGTAAGAAGAGAGTCGCAATGACGGAGAACATCGTTTTGTTATCGAAATAAAATGAAAAAATTGGTTTTCTATCTCGTTTCTCTCGTGTTTGTGCAAACCCTGCTTGTTACATCGATTCTTTTAGATAAACCTTGATCTATGATTAACCTCAGGGTTACAGTTCTAATTTTTATAATGATCATCGTACCAAAATGTTAACATTTTTGAACGTTAAATTCAAGAAGCATGAAGCCCTGTACCTGTATACCCAGTGGCTTCGATGAAACTAGCTTCAAATTCAAAATATATTTACATTATTTCAAGTATGATCCTAAACTGTACGTTGCGTCTCAATTAGGTTCCATACAGACCACCCGGTGTAACGTCTGCCATGCTTTTTGAACCAGGAGGATGTGCCCGGTGAAAGATGCAGTGAGACAAAACATTGGTCAGATTGGTGTCTGAATATTCATGAGATTCCGGTTTATCGCATGAACAAGACCATTAACCTGGACTCGGGCTAGCACTCATTATCGGAGTAATGAACATTAAATAGTAATTAGAAGGTATACAGACTTACGTAGCTCTGCGATTCCCGCCAGGATGCCGCGGAGTGTTTCTTTGACCCGCTGCGGGACGTCGCGCGGATAATTCGAATCGTAACTCAAAGGTTTAACGTCGTCGTCGCGATTTAACACGTTGGCTGCTGTGATCACCGGTGATCGAATTACTATAGTTCACTCGATTAAAAGATGATTATTTGGAAACGTTACTATATTATAAACAACGCTACCTAATGCGGTGACATTCAACTAGACGAACGTGCAGTAATAATTCAATTCAGTCAAAAGATTTGATATTGTATCTTTTCTATTTTGTATTTCTTTTTAACCGTTGATTCGACAGGTAAGTAAACGACGACGCTTTTCCGGAACCGGAAGTGCAGGCGTAATGTATACGAAAATTGGTGACCGTTGTTTCCGGTGATTAAACGTCGAACGTTAAAATGAATTCTTCTCCAAGTATCATATATCACGTTCCTTTTGATCATCTCTAAATTTCAGCTCTACGATTGCCAGTGATATTCAGAGTTGTATCATTAAAGAGATCATAATGAAGCAGCATTGTATTCGTTATTATTACCGGAATAAGCTCCACCGGAAGTACGAAACCGTGGAATCTCAGTATTTAAATATTATAATCTCGCGCAGCAGGAAATAATCGTGTTCATATATTAATTGAACTAATTTCCAGGCAAACGTATATAATTAATTCGGTAGTCCGTACCGTACCGTACCGTACCGAGTGGAACACGGCCGTCCGATTGTCTCGGGTAATTCGTTCTCGCGAGTGATGAGGACCAAAGGGCGGGAACGGCGAATGAAGTCTGAAAATTAGTAACGTGTAAGATCTCGATATTTATGCTATTTAAACATTTCGGGAAACAAGATTACAAGTTTTTATTCCTTTCAATATAATAATAATAATAATAATCATAATCATAATAATAATAATAATAGATAATAATAATAATATATAATAATAATAAAAAATAATAGCAATAATAGCAATAATAATAATAATAATAATCAACATATCGTAAGCTTCCATACGCAGAGCACGCTAAGTTAATACATGTACATGGTTTCTTTACAAAAATAATAACAATGTTTCGATGCAACATTGCGGATCCCACTGATCAATCTCGTCTAGCTAAATGACACTTTAGCGCTTCCTTTGGATAGATAACTTTCGTATATTATATATACATATATACATATATATATATATATCCATACATATATATATATATATACATATATATCCCGCATTTAATCCTCGCCAATCGCTTTTCCGCAAGGGAACATCCTCTCTACCACTTTCTCTCTCTACCACACACACTTTCTTTCTCTTTTCCCTTTCTCTCTCTTTCTCTACACAA